TTTAAGCAGGCCGCCGGCAACATATAGGAAAAGGTACGAATCGTCCAATCGTACCGAATCACTATCGACTCAACTTCTCCAATGCTTCGCACAAACTTTATCATGCAGGTGTTCGTGTAACCGTCAAGCTCATGGGAGATCAATCGTGTTGGCCTTGTATGAATAAAGACGTGAGAGAGTGCGTCTTCCTATGCGAACTGCTACAAATCCAAGGAGATTAGTCAGAACAAACGTTTCCTAGGCCCATTCAAAACTCCCAACTCTCGCTTCAACCACGTCCATATGGATTTGGTGGAAACTTTACCATATTTAAATGAATAGTCTTATCTCTCCACATGTATGGATCGTTTCACACTATGGCCAGAGGCAGTAATCATGAAGGACAATACCGCTGAAACAATGATCCACACCAGATGCTACTAGTCATAGTAAGTTATCGGAAAAGCGTTGACCAACACCATGATCAATTTCCATCTTTACACTAAAACGAAGTTCCCTATCTCCCCATGTATGGCGCTTGTGACATCAAAGTCAAGAAACTTATATCGACCATAGGTAGGCGTCTAGTGCTCGACTGCAGCAATCAATGAATCAGCAAAATGAATATTTTTTGTGTGCTATTAACACTGATTCTGACCTCAATAGTTTGACTGAACACACCATAACTGAAGACGCTCAGTCATGCATCCGCATCAGATCACGAGTGGGTAAGCCATGTTAAGCATCCTTCACAACAACTTGACAGCTCACACCAAACGTTTCTCGACACATCGAAAACTTTCTAAATATATCTCCGAACTCTTTCATTGTAAACTTCTGATTTAACTGGGCGGGTACCTATCAAGTAAAAGGTGTTACGGGTAAAAGCGTCGTCAAACTCTGAATATCTGTGGCATCTTTGGGACAATAGTAGCCCATTATCATGGGGCACGTATTTATTGCAACGCAACGACTGCCAAAGTTTTTGGAGTATTGTGATCAGTTAGCCGAGTTTTTACATTCTCTGACGTAAAAATGTTTCGAAATTTACTCGATACGTTGTGACACATTGGGTAGAATTTTCCAACCAAGTAGATGGTTCATTTCTTGCAAATCACACATAAGGACTCAAGTGTTTTCAAAGTCTATGGACTTTTCAACCGGCGCACTTTTCCTTTATCTTTTCGAGGAAGGCTATATGAGCTCACGTTTGTCTTCAGTACCTTAAGTAACAACCTACTCTTTAACATTTTTTTACAACTTTTGCTTTCTTTAGACTGATCGATCATCCGAGATAATATCCCAAGGCCCAAAATCAGGGATCGAATAAAGTCAGAGTCAGAATTATATAAGAAGGACAGTGGTATTTTTCCTCGCTGAGTACATTTTATTGTTTTGATCGTTTATTACGTATCAGGACTACTGTTTTCACTTTAATCGAATTTATTTCAGTTAAAGTATTCTATTAGAGTATCGTTTACTGTTTCTCAATTAGTTTATCGTCGGTACTATTGAGTACCTTATTTTCTACCGTATCTGTTAGTAGTTTTGGTCCTAACAATCTACAGTTCCCCACTTTTTTGGTCATAAATCTTTTTTGTCTTTGAGCATTATTGCATCCCACTTTTTTTGAAAAGGACCCCTTTCTAATGACCGGACAGTGCAAAAAAACAGTTGTCAACGTCCGGGTTGTCGTTGTCCCGTAGAAAGCGGCATGCAGTGCGATGAGTACAAAGGCTGGTAACACGAAGTTTGCACGAATTTAACGCCTGCGGCTTTCAAAAGGTTCAGTAAAAAGGGTTGCGTTTGGCTTTGTCAACAGTCCTGTTCGGATGCGAACAGCTTGTTAACCGAGGCCATCTCATTGCTAGATTCTGCAAAAGTGTTTTACCAAGCGTAGTCGGGACACATCAAACAGCACTCGCTCTGTCGACACTCAAATTGATATGAAGCAAACTCAGGTGAGTTCGAAAATAGGTGACTCACACCGATCAAGGAAGGAAAAACAGTCTCCAAAGAGGTCTATCGTAAACAGAAACGCAAGAAAAGAAGGTTCTTCTGTTTCCCGTCTTCCAAATAGCATCCAGAAGGAAACGCCTAGAAGCCGCAATCGCAAGGCTCGATCGGTTTCTAGCGGGAAACATGACCTGACCTCCCTGGTCGTCGACAACCCTCCGGAACCCAACAGTAGGTTTGACGCAACTTTTATTGCTTCTCCTAGCACCGTTGACGAATGGATACAGGTTGTAAGAAAGAAACAACGTAGCGATATAAAAGGGAATCCTGCCCCCATAAAAGTAGTCGAAAAATCGAAAGCTGGTCACAGTGACAGATCAGTTATTTTTCATAGAATCAAGGAGAGTGAGAGTTCTGAACCAAAAGCTCGCTTTGAGCATGACATTGTGCTGATTAAACAGCTGCTTAAACAACTCATGCTTCAAAATATCACCAGGGTCGCCTTGCTAAAGGTGTACTGGGTAAATCTGCGAACTGAACCGTCAGAACTTCGAGCAGGAACTAGTTGATGGGGTTATCACATGTGCCGTAGTGCAACATGTGCAAGAAGCGACAAGGTACGACCCGGAAACCGAATCATTCTTACTAGATCTTATACTGACTCACTATGAGGATGATGTTGCGAACCTCCATTATATGCCACCCCTAGGTAAAAGTGATCACATAGTTCTAGCTTTCGACTTCCATATAACTGTCAGTCACGAGCATGCACCAGTCCAATCCAGACCTAATGTCTGGAGGCAAACATACCAGATATCATGCACACAGCATCGTTAGTAGATTGGGCAGTAGACCCAGAGTCCTCCATTGAAACGGCCAGGGACGCATTTCGAAATTCATACTTAAAAGTCACCACACCCCACATCCCTTGGACTATACCGAGGGGGCAGAGAAACTCACCACCATGGTTCAGTAGGGAGGTTCGCATCCTTCTCCGTAAGAGAAGAAAAATGTGGGATGGATTTAGGTTACTGGGGACTGATGGGACGAAATCTCAGTATCAAAAAGCTCGGAATACCTGTGCTGGACCCTCCGTAGGTCTAGAAAGTTGTACGAAGAAAAAATTGGTAAATAATCCATAGAATGTCCCAAACGTTTGTGTTTCTATATAAACCAAAGGACACAGAGAAGAGGAAATATTCCTGCTCTACGGGGAGACAGCACTGCCGCATCATTAGTGGAGGACGACTTTGGCAAAGCTCAAGTGTTCTCAAACTACTTTAGCAGTGTATATGCCATAGAAGCACCCTCCCTTCTGCCACACATACGCTGGATAGCGTGACCATTAGAGAACTCGATGTCTTTGGTCTACTATATAAGCTTGACATGGGTAAATCCACGAGGCCCGATGAATTACATCCTAGGCGACTGAAGGAATTATCTAACTTCGTTGCGAACCCTTTAAGTATATGCTTTAACCTATCCGTAACGCAGGGTCGTTTACCAAAAGACTGGAAAAACGCCATAGTAAGTCCTGTCTTCAAAACAGGTACGAAACATAAACCTGAGAATTACTGACCCGTTAGCCTAACTAGTGTGGTTGTTAAAATATTAGAAAAGATTATTCGGAAGGAGCTGTTTAAGTATCTCGATGAAAACCGGATTCTTTCGGAGAAGCAGCACAATTTCAGAATAGGTTACTCTTGTCTCACTAACTTGTTAGTGGCTCGTGAAAGCTGGCGCGCTCTTGAGGACCAAAAGTTACCTGTAGACGTAGCCTTCATTGATTTCAGCAAAGCTTTTGACGAAGTTCCACACAACTGGCTGTTATATAAGTTAAGAAATGTCGGGGTTGAATGTAATCTATTGATGTGGATAAAAGACTTCGTAGTTGGGCGTCAACAAACAGTACGGGTGAACTCAGAGTTATCTAGCTGGGAAACTGTGCTTAGTGGAGTGCCTCAGGGTACAGTTTTGGGGCCAGTGCTATTCCTCTTGTATGTAAGTGACCTTCCTCGTCTCCTATCATCATCGGTCTTGCTATATGCAGACGATGTCAAGATATGGAGAACGATACGATGTAAGGGTGATAGCTTAGAACTCCAAAATGACCTGAAGAAATTATCTGAATGGTCTCAAACATGGCAGTTGCCGATAAATACTTCCAAGTGTGTCGTGATGCATATCGGTCATCAAGGTACAGATACATACACGATGAATAACACTAAGCTACCTATCGTTCAGACATATAATGACTTAGGAGTCATCGTTAGCCAAGACCTAAAGACTACTGCGCAATGCCGTGTAATAGCCGCCAAAGGTTTCAGAACTTTATGATCAATACGTAAGGTCTTTAGCCATGTCGACGCTAAAACGTTTTTTGACTTTGTATACAGTGTTCGTACGTCCTAAACTTGAGTACTGCATACAAGAGGCCAGCCCCTGCTTAGAAAAAGACAGTGAGCTTCTGGAAAAGATTCAGAGAAAAGCAACTAAACTGATTCCCGGAATAGCGAAGCTTCCATACGATGCTCGACTGGCCAAGCTAACCCTTTTCACGTTGTCATATCGTAGAACTAGAGGCGATTTGATTACAGTTTTCAAATTGCTTAGTTCCGGATTTGCACCTGATATGCCTTCATTTTTCTTGTCTCCCAAAACAGAGAATTTACGAGGACACTCCAAAATAGTTCACAAGCCCAGGAAAAACTGCTTGTCAGCTGACTATCGACTTTCCCAAGCAATCATCAACCAGTGGAATTCATTACCTCAGCAAGTGGTTGGGGCTCCATCCGTCGACTCTTTCAAAAGAAAGTCGGATCAACTGAGAGACCACCATTGCCAGGACTAACACAGACCATCAAGCCTCCTGTCCTTCCCAACCTTAAACTGAAACTGAATTTTCCTCACCGGACAGAGATAATGGAGAGAAAAAATTGTGTCAGCAACTCAGTGAAAGTTTTCAAATATAACCTGGATTTTTAATGAGGAACAGGCCGTAAGGACCTAACATTCTTATTATTGACAACGGAAAAAAAACGTTTAAACCAATGTGTACCCGCGCTGCAATCAATTGCAACAAGGTAGGATGGAAGTGACCATATTTTCGGGATTATTGGTAGATTGTCCTTTGGATCAATACGTTTATTTTCGGCAGCTGCAATTAGTTGAAAGCTAATAGAACTGGAAGTTTGTACGGATCTCGTTCGGGGATTTACTACAACAGCAATCCCGCCGACTGATCGAGCTGCCCATTACACTTCTTAGCCGGTTTAACTATCCGGTTTTAGTTCCAACTTTGAAATTGTATTAGTTTGAGGCCTGTGCTATTTCCGACTGTTATTGATTGCTTTCATTAATTAGTGTAAGTGGGTTGTGCGCGCTTAACGTGTCGGCGAATCTTTACTATTGTTCTCTAATCCAGCTATCACTCATTTAATTGTTTTATTTTAAAACATAGATATTGGTACAAAAAGTCACCAAGTACAAATGCGCCACACAAATCTCATTTGGTATGTGTGAGGGCTGTGATACGCCCCGTGTGCCTAAACCGAAACAGGTGGTTTTTAACGGGGCCACATCCGGAGCCCTCGATCTAAAGGTCTGATCCACATGGCGGTGAAGCTAATGCTATTTTCACTGTTTCTTCATTTTGTTTTCACAAAATTATTTTTACTACTAACTAGATATCTGTCTAATGTATAAGCAGATTTCACCTACCATGGAACACTTAAAGTTATAATGTTTTTTATTTCCGCCTTTCAGTTTCTACCTGCCACCAAATGCTTTTGCTGGCCAAAGTGAATGGAATCTGCACATGTATGTTGTAGTTTAACATATTAGACATCATTGTAATTTTTTGAGGTACTGCTTGTAAGTTCGGTTCCTCCCTAAAAACTTTGTGATCGAAAAAGACAAATGAAGGAGAAAGTTAAAGAAAATCAACAAGTAGGAAGTCAGTATTCCTGTTTTCCCTAAAACTCGGTTATCCAGCTGGGTAGTTGTATAAACCAGTCCTAAGTCTTAAACCCATCTCTACTTATTATCAATGATGTTTAAGAGGCTACGTCATGTCAGCATCTCCACTAAACAGATTTGGATTTTGCAAATATTTTGCTAGATTGATCCCTAAAATGTCAGGTAAAGAAAGTGGAGAGCCCTATCGACCGTCAATTGGGATGGCCAATTCAGATGACAGGTTGCCATATGCTCTTGATCAGTAGAATTCGAAACGTTGATATACTTTTTATGCCTTTAAATGACAGCGACTACCATAAATCATGTTGATCAGAAAAGGCAAATGAAGTTTTAATGTTAAGAGCGTCGGTTTGCTTACACCCATAAACTTGACTTGGAGTGGATATTTAGTCAGCTCACTCATGTCTAAAACCAGTTTAGTTTTACCGTGGGTCACTGTCCACAGCCTCCAGTTTAGCATTAGGCTGTTTCCGAAGCTAAGGTTTCGAATACAATATTGATAAGATTAATTTCTCTGTAGCTTTCATAAGAGGACTTTTGTCGTTCCTGTAAACAATCAGTACTCTTGAAAAAGTTATTTCACGAGTCTAGGTCTTCTCGAGTCATATCTGTCTTTTCTAATAACATTGACACTGCTACTAGTACTACTCTGGCACCTCGTCCTGACGTGTGGTAACTCAAAGCCACACACATGTGCCAAGTTGTACGTTGAGTTTGGTTGACTGAGTGTTCGCGACTAACCTGATAGAATTACCTACAGCTACCAGGTTACTAGTACAGTACCTCAATCAATGTAACTGTTGGCACTAAACGTCCATCCATAAAGGAGTTTGTAACTAATCCACCAAGGTTAGGTCTCACTGTTGAGAGTCTAATATCAACCTCACCACAGCCCTTGATGAAAATGGGTAGCTGGAAAGTACCTGTCCCTCAAAACATCCTGTCTTTCCGGTAGTTTGGTTTGAAAACATGTTTTTCAAACATAGTTCTACTGATAGATAACTTTAATTAAAGTTTCTAATGCTTCTACATCGGGTGTGACTCCCTAGGAAGATCGCCTCTGTGGGCATCCGGACAGTATCCCAGCTGTCACACAAATCGGGAGATTTATTTATAGCATATCTATTTAGTCCCTCCTTGTACTAATGATTATGTGTTTAAATAAATGAAGCTTCCACATAGTTGTGTAGGGTCGCCGATTGTCATTACCTTTCTTTGTCACTTATTTTGGTTTCCTATCATTGCTCCATGTAGACTTCTTGTTAGTCTGCTTATAATTTTCGTTGATGTGTGTAGGTCACTTGGATGAGTTACTAAAGCGTTATCAACTTGGTGGAAGCTTCATAACCCCATTGGATTGTACTAACCTTTTCTCTTAGTTTGTTAACAAATTTTACTGCTGTTTTTATAAAAATTGCTAATGTCCTTGTGTTAAGCATCCTATTTGTAGTCAACTTTAATGGTTTGATTGCTCTGCCGTAAATACTTTCTTTACATTTATATCTTATACCTGCTTTCAATAAGATCGTTCGTTTCTGCGGAGACTTAGGGTTAACATCTTGCTATTGACCATCTAAGGAAGTTGGTATGTTGCAATAAGCATACACTCCTTAAAGGTTGTAACTAAATATTTCTCAAATTATTTGAGATGGGATTACTCCTGTAATATGAATTGATATCAATTCTTAGTGTAATTGTCATAAAACCTATGAAATATGTTGCTTAATGAAAATTACAGGTATAATGTTTCTTTTTGTACTATAGGTTATAAAATAAGTATTGGCAAAAGCACACACCGAAGTTTATTGCCTGCAGACTTACGAGCTAAAGGTTATCACTCATTTGACCTTCAATTATTCTAGTAAAGGCAGTTTTACTCTGAAACAGCAGACATCAAGTTAGGAGTTGTGAAAGATGCCATGTATCACAACCATAACTCCGTGAATTTTTAACACTGCAGTTATCACAAACTCAGTTCTTAACCAACCGAATAAATCTTATTCCTGAATCCGGACTTCATTTTCGTTGTATCTGTGTGGACTTTTTACAATGAGCTATTCTCATTTGAGTACTTATAAATGGTTTCACATTTGACGCAGATGGTTTGTATGTATTGTAAATGATTATATTGGTTCAGTAGTTAGATTACCTAAAGGTTTGATAAGACCCAAATAAAACCTGGGTTGATTTTTATAGAACTGATGAATTGGGCTAGATTCTTATTTAGCCTGTTTCACAGTGAGGATTTGTATATTGATCTATCTGCCATTTTTTTCACTTTTCAAGGTTCAAGATATATGATGTTTTGGAAATGGCTGAAAGTTTGAGAAACTTGCCTATTTACAAGAAGGATAGTTTTACTCAGTTCGTCCCTCATTCTCGAAGTACTGAATCCCGAATTACTTACGTTTGTACCTCCAGCCGTAATCGGTCGTGGGTCATTAATGGAGGTCGGCATATGTTTTATGATTTAAGTCTTGATAGCAAAAGGGAAGAGTACATTTCTTCTCAGACGGGGAAAGATGACGTTGAGTGTCCTCCAAATAAAATCCCTCGTCTAAGTGCTTTGTAATTTATTTATGCCGTATTAAAACTTTTTATTTTGTAGATTATTTATTGTATTTTATCTACTTCAGATATCTGTAAATATTTTTGAAACTCAAATATTACTTCTAAAGTTTTTTCCTTACTCTTGTTCAAATGGGTAGCTTGAAATACTCAAATAACTCACTAAAGCCATCCCCTATTCTGTAGTGCAACATGTGGTGAGCCTAATAAATCTATTTTAATTCGGTTTTGTTCTTTATGACTTTGGCAGTAAATCTATCTTAGGGCTAAACAGTTAATTCATTAAAATCGTTAGCCAATTCTCCTGCCATTATCATTAGATTAATCACATTTTTGCTCTCAACCCAGATATAAGTGCTTTATATATTAACTAAATATCGACGTACAGTGTTTAAATGTAAATCTCAGTTCACCGTCATAACTTGAGAAGTATGTACACTGTTATATCTGTATCATGTGTAGTAAACCACTGACAAACTCAATGCCAATATTAGGGGCTGGATTCTACCTAAAATCGATAAAGCTCTAAGACGTTTCTACTTATCCCAATAGGTTTCGTCCCTCTTCGTAGTTATTTCTTTTTGGTTGTTAACCAAGCTAGATATGTTGTATTGAAATTTTGATAAATAACTGAGACTTATGTACAAGAAACCGTCAGCCGTGCAATCAACTGGCTGAGTCCATTGGTCTAACCACAGTCGGTGGTTATAACGTGTTCTTTTAATGCTACCAGCATTTCAGTTGGAATAAACATTCCATTTATAGCGTCTCTGTCTCTTTTTCGAATCTATCTTAAAACTGTAAATTAAACTGATACCTAATTTCCTCAGTCATGTGATCTAACACTATTATTTAACCTAATAATTCATTTCGCCAAATTCCCATTTACTCATAACTCATGCTCAACTACAACGCCGTCCAGTGATCATTTTGCTGACTCGATAATTGTTAGTAGTGCACAGGAAACAGTGCAAGTGTAACAAATGTCTAATGAACATAAATATACCTAGTAGCTCTGTTGGTTTACGATTACTGAAATGAAATTGTGTAATCAAACACATAACTATCACGTCATTATTCTTCCTTTCGAACGCTGAAATGCTAGTGACTTCGGTCAGTACATACATTTTTCAGTAAATATAAGCTTTAATTCCGTACAATGTTATCGGACTATTTGAAATGACTTCAAGTAATAAAACCAAACTCGTTAACCGAAGCCTTAATTTCTTATCATTAGGAGCTTCTTAAGTTATTGTGGTATTTACAACCCATTTACTTTATAATAAAATTTCGAAAACAAATCTGCATACTTCTTGAAGGTAAATACAATATTTTGGCAGAATGGTAGTCGACCGGAAATGTGATTGAGGATGGTTATAAAAGTCTCGGGAACCAGTCGGACAAGATGGCCTGTAATTATTAAAGCGAATCGACTCAATTCTAACGACGTTTGTTGAATAGTGTCACATTTGAACTAGAATTTATGCATAAGTCCTACTTACTGGCAATAATTTGTGGAAGACAGTATCAAAGATGCAAGAAGTTACATACTTTACAAGACTAAACAGAATTGATGTGGGACTTGTTAGTCAATTTCAGTACAAATTTAATACGTATTTGATGAAAACAACTCAGTCAGGTTTGTTAAGAATACAAAAAAGCGTGGTATTTTGCTTCATGCGATTGGTGTTTTAGCGAATAGTTGTTCGAATGCATTATGTATTTCTGGCAACATTTGCGTAGTTATCATAGAACGACCGTATTTAGCGTATGCCAATTGTGAACATCTTCGTGTAAGAGAACAAGCTGCAAATGCAGCTCCAATAGTAGCTGTAAACAGTAGATTCCTAGAAAATTTTAATAATGGAAAAAGAAACAAAAGTTATGTGTATATAGTCATAAACGATGTAGCACCTAGTACAAATACCAATTTGCAACAACACATCAAGAAATAGTATTAACTAGACCTCGTTACTTATATATATATATATATATATATATATATATATATATATATATATATATACCAAAGTAAGTTTACTACTGTATTATCAATTTAGGTGGTAAAATTATGCAAAATCCATCATGTGTGTGCAAATTTGATATATCGTGCTAACATTTAGCACACTAGGAAGAAAGAAGGAATGAAAGATGAGAATAATCGTCCCAATAATATTGGAGAAATGGAGGGAAACAGTTGCATGAAATAAGAAGTAAAGATTAATACGATGTTTGAAATTTTAATGAACAGATTTGTATTTGAAACTTAGACTAGTCTAATGCTACTTCAGTTCAAGCTTTTAACCACTGATAACGGACGTCTCATATGCCACAATGTTGATGTGCCTTGGATGTTTTTGTTTGACCGTTCTAATAACTTATACATTCAAACCTTTGTTTTGTAAAGAAGGTTGGAGCGACTAAAATCTGGAATATTCACATTTCGTAAATCGAGTGGCCATATCCTACCGACAAGTAAATAGCATCGAATAAACCCTATCGGACTAGACTCAGCTTTCAATAAATATTCTAATGTCTAATTCATGTAAGAGACGAAGTAGGTATGCAAAACCCGAAGGAAAAATCCTTGTTAGGACTATAATTACATCGTCTATCGACCTATCTAGATAAGTGGATTTACTAGAATACTTAATATCATTGTTAGGACCTCTTACATTTAAACTTGCAATAGATAAGAAGTCATGAAGGAAAAAACAAGCCATCTTCTTTAAAATATTGAGTTTGGTTCATAATGTTATTCAGTTGATTATAGAATTAATATTCTGTAACTTCTGTTGCACTTACGTGGATGTACGTTTTTGGACAGACAATACGTGACTAACTCTGGAGAGGTTAAACACTGGTCTCACAGGTTCCCAAGATAAAAACATATGAGACATCCTTGACATCGGTAAATGAACAGAAAATTCGAAGCATTTTATTGTAATCTTAGAAATAAATAGCAACACTTCAGAATATTCCCCCAAACTCCTTGTCGTCGGATTTGCAAGTGTTGTAACTAGGGTTCACGAAACGTTTATTACTTTGAATGAAATGCCTTAGCGACAGACACGACAGTGTACATATATCATCCACTGAATCCTTAATAATTAAAGATTCCATGTTGATATAGTTCTAGTCAACTTGATTCTTTCTTTTTATTGAGCTTATTCGACTAAATTAGGTTTTTATACTATTGAGAAATGCGTCAACTTGAATAGTCAAAACATTCGAGTAAATTCCTAATTATTCTTTGCCTTCTTATACACACTGACACCTCTAATATTAACATAGTTAAATGGCTTAGCTATTTACCTTTAAATGGATGATTAAGGTCAGCTCCATATTCTATTTGTACAAATGGGTAGAAATATTAATCCATTACACCGTAAATATGTACTACATTCTAGAATGTGAGCAGGTAATTAGCTTGTGCACCCATGATAAACATAAAAACAACACAGAGACGTTTCCATTTTCATGTTTCACGTGAGGAATGTAAATTGAGTACATTTATAACGAAGTACGTCATATGCTTGATATTTTATTGACTGCTAAAAAGCAATTGTAACTTACGGATTGTTATCCTTAACTTGGTGAAACCAGTAGTTGAAGACTGACATTGTACCAGATAGAACATCGCCCTGTCCACCGCATCTGCGGGGTGATCCTTGATCCACACACTCTACAGCTTTTATTAAATAAAATCAAACGATAAGATGGAATGACGAATATAATTATAGTGATGAAACTAAAGAGGTTGGAAGCGAATCTCTAAGTGAGTTCAATATTAATAGGTATGTGTCCATGGGTGAATTTAGTAACACGATAGCTCTTTACAAACAGGTCATTTTTATTTAAACTTTACTCGGACACTACTAGTCGAGTCAGAGCTTATGGCGAACTGTCATCTACTTTTGCAACCTCAAGTGGTGTCCGTCAAGGCTGTCCACTTTCCCCATTTTTGTTTAACTTCATCATAGATCTGCTGATGGAAATAACTTCCTCGTCGACTGAGTTCTCGGGTATTGATCTCCATCCAGGAGGTCCACTTATCGACTTAGAATACGCAGATGACATAGTCCTGTTTGGTGATGCTGATAAAATGCAGTCTTCTGGTAGCACTAAGCAACAATGCCAGAATGTTTGGAATGCGCTTCTCTCCCTCTAAATGCAAGTTGTTGCTTCAGGAGTGGTCTGCGTCAACACCTGAACTAAGGATAGGGAGTGAAGTAGTCGAACGCGTTGACAACTTCACTTATCTTGGAAGTCTGATCAGCCGTATTGAGTTAGTGCCGGACGAAATTTCTGCACTGATTCGAAAACTCGTTTGACTTTGCCAACTTACGTCACCAAATGTGGCGAAGGCGAGATATCCGTCTATCAATAAAAGGACGAGTATATTGCTCGGCAGTTCGTTCTGTTTTACTTTACGGCAGCGAAACATGGCCATCAAGAGTAGAAGACACCCGTAAGCTACTAGTATTTGACCACAGATTCCTTAGAAATATTGCTGGCGTCTGCTGGGATCACCGGGTAAGTAATAGTGAGGTTTGACGCAGGGTATTAGGGAACGATGGTAAAACAGTCGATGAGGTTATGAATCTTCATCGACTGAGATGGTTGGGTCACGTGTTGCGTATGCCTGAACACCGATTACCATGACGTGCAATGCTATCCGGTATTGGAGATGGTTGGAAGAAAGTTAGGGGCGGCCAAACCAAAACGTGGCATCAGTGCTTGAAGTCACTAACTTCTAGTCTGAGCCATGTTGGTAGATGCAGACTACTTGGTTGGGATCCGCGTGAGTATCTTGACCAATGGTTGGAGACTCTTGATGGCTTGGCTCAGAATTGATCGCAATGGCGTAGGTGTATACACTGTCTTTCTTCACTTAAGCTAAGAGATCAAAATTACTTCATATCTTTCTTTCTACGAACTAATTATTTCTTCCTGTACTGTATCCTTATATACAATCTTTCTTTTATATATTAATACCATTGACTTAACCACTCCTATGGATCCACTGTTCATATTGTTGTGCTAATGAGGTATGGCAACCTGGACCGATGCATATATGTGCCTGGTCCTACGTTGTGGCTGACTGGCTGACTGAATCTGACACTGAACGATTCAGGTATTTCTGGATAGACAAATACGCTATATAATATAATTATAAATAAATTTTATAGCGGTTTTATTTCAAACGAATTGGAAGAACAAAACATTCGTAACATATGAATAATTCCTTGATCTATATTTTAACAAAGCATATTATGAGATACCTATAGATATATTGAACATTTTGTGATTTCAGTGGATAAAAAACTTATGGAAAAATGTAAAGCAGTTGGAATTTTTAGGAATGAATGTTGCTACCCAACATTTTCCGTTTTTAGGGTTATATTTTATGGTTCTAAATAATAATGCAATTTTATCAGTCGAAAAATTACTAAAAATATGGACTTAAAAGTTAACCCATAAAAGTGATTTATGTAAGCAGTTGTCATTAAATATACTTTTCAGTATATGGTTATGGAGATTGTTGAGTTTTCATTAAGATAATGAACCGATCAGTGTTAGATCACCATTACTTACTTACTTACTTACGCCTGTTACTCCTCGTGAAGGAGCATAGGCCGCTCACCAGCATTCTCCATCCAACCCTGTCCTGGGCAATCCTTTCTAGCTCCGTCCAGCTGTAATTAATCGTTTTCATATCTGCTTCTATTATCCGACGCAATGTGTTCTTTGGCCTTCCTCTTTTCCGCTTCCCTTCAGGATTCCAAGTTAGGGCTTGCCTCGTGATGCAGTTTGACGATTTCCGTAATGTATGTCCTATCCATTTCCATCGTCTTTTCCTAATTTCTTCAGCTGGAAGTTGGTTTGTTCTCTCCCACAGAAGGCTATTGCTGATGGTATCCGGCCAATGGATGTTGAGTATCTTGCGTAGACAACTATGTATAAATACTTGTACATTCTTGATCATGGTTGTTGCAGTTCACCAAGTTTCAGCTCCATACAGTAGAACTGCCTTGATGTTCGTATTGAAGATTCTTACTTTGATATTGGTTGAAAGTTGTTTTGAGTTCTATATGTTCTTCAATTGTAGGAAAGCGGCCCTTGCTTTGCCGATCCTCGCCTTTACGTCTGCATCGGATCCTCCTTGCTCATCGATGATGCTTCCCAGGTATGTGGAGAATTCTACATCTTCCAGAGTTTCGCCATCAAGTGTGATTAAATTGCTGTTCTCCGTATTGTGTTTGAGGACCTTGGTTTTCCCCTTGTGTGTGTTGAGGCCTATTGATGCATCACGAGTTATCTTCATCTGCATTTGTTCGTGAATATGCGATAGTAGGGCTAGGTCATCTGCGAAGTCCAAATCGTCTAATTGATTCTGAGCTGTTCATTGTACTCCGTGTTTTCCCTCCGATGTTGAGGTCTTCATAATCCAGTCGACCACCAGAAGAAAGAGGAAGGGAGAGAGTAGACAGCCTTGTCTGACTCCGGTCCTTACTTATAATGCGTCTGTCAGCTGTCGTCCATGCACAACCTTGCACTGTAGTCCGTCGTATGAGTTCCGGATAATATTGACAATCTTCTCAGGAACTCCGTAGTGTCGAAGAAGTTTCCATAATGTCTTCCTATCTACACTGTCGAATGCCTTTTCATAATCAATGAAGTTGATGTATAGTGATGAGTTCCACTCAACTGATTGTTCGACGATGATCCGTAGTGTTGCAATTTGGTCTGTGCACGACCGATCCTTACGGAATCCAGCTTGTTGATCTCGAAGTTGGGCGTCTACTGCATCCTTCATCCGGTTCTACAGGCGGAGTTTAGATCACCATTGAAGAACTGAAATCACTGGACGGCCGATTCGTCCCAGTATGGGACTCTTCAGCAGTGCACATCCACGAACCCGCCTTGCGAGATTTGAACCCAGGACCTATCGGTCTCGCGCGCGTACCCTTAATCTCTAGACCCATAAGCCGGCATCCAACGGTGTTAATGTTTAACTACAACCAATCCACGATATTACACGAGTGTCCTCCATTGTCTTCAGTAAGTAACTGCCCCACACCAGACACGGTTGAACCATGCTGGTCACGGATTTTCACTAGAACTCCAGAGAATCCATCTTGAAGTTAGCCACTAGTGAGTGCATGATAATTATCAGTATAGGGTTGTGAAGATGGTTAAGTTTTGATTGAGATCATACTTTTGTCAGTACGGAGTTTTAAAGATTGTTGAATTTCATTGGAATCATGGACCGATCCAAGTTAGACCTCTGAAAACCTGGAAGCACTAGGTGGCCGTTTCATCTTAGTGTGCGGCTCCTTAGCGATGGGCAGCCATGACTCCACATGTGAGAATGGTATTCAAAACCTTCGTTCATGCACAAAAACACTTGATCTTTAGACCGCTTTTTGGTCCCCAAATGCCGTAAATACGGCTGAGGGTGGGGAGAGTTAACCACGCGTGTACAGCTACTGTTAGGGAAGATCTACCCACTGCCTTCTCGCGACGGGGGTTTTGTTTACGGAATTGAGAGGACGAAAATCGGATGTCTAGCGCTTTAACCAGACTCACGGGCACAGAGGGTCCACCTAGGGGAGTTGGAAAATCCTGACTCCAAACCAATGATGCACATGAGCTCCAGGATTCTGAAGGAACAAGTGGCGTATGAACCAATCGTCGGTCACTGACTACCATGGGACTGGATCTCCTGACGTCGCTCCACTGCCTTGTGCATCAGACCTTTAGGTCGAAGGCTCCGGGCGTGGCCTTTTAGGAGAACCACCTTCTTCTGACTGGGCAATATCATAGCCCACACATGGATCAAGTAACTTGTGTGGTGCACATGTATTTGGTCCCTCTTTGTACCAATATTTATGTCTTCAGATTAATAAATAAGTAATATACCATTTAGACGGCAGCCAATGGTGTAAATGTCTAACTTAAATCGGCTTATGATTTCAATGTAATTCAACAACCTTCAGAACCTCATACTGACAATTATCATTTTCTCACTAGTGACTAGAGAACAAAATTTCGGAGTTTCAGTAGGAAGCCGTGGTTATTGGAGCTAAACCGTGTCAGGTGTGATGGAGTTACCCAACAAAGACAATAGATGATCGCGCAATGTCGCGGGTTGATGGAAGTTAGACATAAACACTACTGGATTCCGGCTCAGTAGTCTAAAGATCAAGTCTTTGTGAACGAAGGTCTTGAGTTCCATTCCCATATGCGGGGTCGTGGGTGCCCGTCGCTAAGGAGCCGCACACTAAGATGAAACGGCCATCCAATGCTTAAAGGTTTTCAGTGGTTGTCTAACTCAGATCGGTTTATGATTTCAATGAAATCTTACTTGTCTTGAATTACTTGGGACTATGTTAACCAATAAAATAATTACAGTTCGACAACTATTAACATAAGGACTACACCACTTATTGAGTAGTTAATAATCCCGTCTTGATATCTGAGTCTTTGTAACTAGATCGAGATGTCACCTAAATAATTTCGTGGTTTAAGGTTGGTGGCAGAAGACCTACGTTGATTAAGATGAAATGAAAAGTGAGGATTTAGATTTTTATTACTCAGAAAAATTTGGAAATATGAATAGATGATATTAAGAGAATAGATGGTAGTTGCCATTAGACCACAATAAAATCACAGGGATCTTTTAGAACAGTATAACGCAAATGAAATGGTCGATTTGCTACATCTTTGCGCGTTGCAGAAATTATCATGATGAAACAAACACGTACAAACAAAGATGTGTAGAGTCTTTATTATGGTATGGTATATTTAGATGCTTTGAAGATGCATCTGGAACGCTGGACAAATGTATACACTATTTGTAATTGAGATTTCAATTGTCTAAAGACTCAACTAAGTCAGTGTGGTGAATTCTCCGGTGACCGAACACTTTTTAGACAAACACTAGTTACAATCAAAATTAAATGAATTATTGGACCAGTTTTTCAGAAAACTTTCTGCTATTCTATAAAGAGCCGGACGCTTGGAAGTTATAATTGTAGCAGGAAAACTTAAAGCCCACGTAGGTAGTCTAAAATAAAGTGATAGGCACTTATGGGGGTCCCAGCTCAATGAACAGACAAGAGGAACAGTCTGCTAAATTTTTTTAAATATTGGATGCGCACTGCCGAGCTGTCCCACAGTAGGACGAAACGGCCGTCCAGTGCTTCCAAGTTTTTCGTGGTGATCAAGCTTCAATTGACTGCTCTCAACTATTGAAATTTTTCTTTTGAATCGTATCTTTGATACCTAGTCTTTTCTATTACCACTGATACTGTTACTACCTCTCCCATTCTGAGATTTGGTATGACGATTTCATCCCACTACTTTAATGAGGTTTGATAACTTGTACAGTTGTACATACGAACTAGGTTCTACATTGTGACTGAGTGATTGTCTGCTAAACTGATAGATGCTCAACCCATTAGGCCGCGAACAAGATAATGAGTGAAGGCAATTCAAGCATAGACTATCAAAAGTATATGCAATGATCTGGAACAAAGGTAGGCAGCTAAAGCAAGAGCAATTAAAAATAAGCTAGAGTTAGGCAACAGTAATTAACTTTACATACTTATAAAAGAAACAGGTATTTAAAATCAAGGAGTTAGTGGAATTAGTTCTGAAAGAAAATTATCTGCTATTAATCGAAGAGACGGGAGCGATAAAAGAAATACTTCGAAGAACTGATTGCTTACTCTCCAAATACCTTTCATTTCCTTACCTTCACTAAATAATCTGAATAGGATTTCAGCATAAGCCTCCTGACTCTTAATAAAGTAGGAAAATCCATAGCCTATATAAAGTGATAAAGATAAACATGCTTTGATGGATCAACCCCAGAGATCTTCAAGATTGTTGGTCTAGTTCTAGCTGTCAAATTGACTGGGATATTAACTAATGCAATGCTATCCGGTATTGGAGATGGTTGGAAGAAAGTTAGAGGCGGCCAAACCAAAACGTGGCATCAGTGCTTGAAGTCACTAACTTCTAGTCTGAGCCATGTTGGTAGATGCAGACTACTTGGTTGGGGTCCGCGTGACTATCGTAACCAATGGTTGGAGACTCTTGGTGGCATGGCTCAGAATCGATCACAATGGCGTCGGTGTATGCACTCCCTGTCTTCCCTTAAACTAAGAGATTAAAATCGCTTCATATCTTTCTTTCTACGAACCAATTCTTTCTTCTTGTACTATATCTCTATATGCAATCTTTCTCTTACATATTACTACCTTTGACCTAACCACTGCTATGAATCCGGTGTTCATCTTGTTGTGCTGATGCGGTATGGCAACCTGGACCGATGCACATATGTGCCTGGTCCTACGTTGTAGCTGACTGACTAACTAGTCTGGGAACTGGACGTAATTCTACTTGGCTAATTGCGATCGTTGACCACTGCAGTGTTTGAGTAGAAACACTTTTGATTAAAAAGAGGAGTCAGTTTTAATAATATATAATCTAAAGAACCAGCCCAAATAATTATCAGGACCCATAATAGGAACCATGGAGAAGAATATTGGGAAATTTAAATTTTATGATAATCATTCAATTTATTCTTGCATTATCTCCTTGCGTGTTTAAAGGTGATAGGAAAAATACGTCAGTCCTTGAAAACTATTACGACTGCACGAAGCGTTTAGCTAATACTATACAGAGGCTTTCTTCTGAGCGGCATGCATAAAGAGATGCATCATTATCAAGACATAAGTAACAGAAATTAATACGCTTACAGAGGATTCACAGTAACATATTGAACGCAATTTCGTAGAAAAGCAATATATTATCAGGAAAATTACTTGTTTGACCATTTGATATAATATCTGTAGGACCTTTATGGACAATGGTGACACCAAGTTTTTCAGCAAGAGATCTTGTCGCATCTTTGGTATCATATGGTTGAGACGAAAACTGAATAAATGCGTTGAGTATATTATTGACATAATTACCACAGAGTAATATAATCTTGAAAACTCAACAGTGTTTGGAGTAAGAATAGTTTTATCATAACCTTCTATGAGTGATGGATTTTGAGTAACGATGTGCAAAGCATCAGCATCAATGACAATAGGCTTGTTAGAATGCTTGCAATAATCTATCAGCTACAAAGTACTAGTATTTAAAAGTAAATGGTAATAAAAAGAACTTTTGTAGTATTTTCAACATTTTCTGTTAGTCCCAGACCAGGTCCAAATGTAATTGCATGAACTCTGTCCATACATTTGGTCGCTTCTGCTAGAACTCCATCCCTAGAAATTAGGTAGTAATATGGACTGTTTATAGAGAATTACAGAACAGGATGAACGATCAATTCGGGACTATATGACTTGATAACAGGAGAGGAAGAAGCAGAACATACTACATGAACTAAATCAGCACCCTAGAATTTATATTACTTGTGTATGTTAACTTACACAATGCAAAGCACTAATAGCGGAAAAGTATGGTGCTCCAGTATATCTGCTAACTATCAACAATACATGCATGAACTGACTCTTTTGATCCTCCTACTACAGCAATTCTTCCCATTTGACCTTTATGAAGACCATGTGTTAACTGAGGAATAATCTTAGCTATGTCGTCAATCATAATACAGTAGCGTAGCCACAAACACCGATTACACCACTGAAAGTACGAACATCTGTAGGGAAAATCAAATAGGGTTTTTAAGCCAATTAATAAAGTGTTGAACTTAATCGCTTAATAGTGACTTATTGTCTGAAGTGTTCTATATTCATAGTAAAACTTTAACAGGCGAACGATAAAACTAAGTTAGTGAATCCAATTAAAACACTAGACAGTGAGACTATAATTTATGGAGGACCGTTGGGCAACGCCAGGATTAGTTTCGTATAGGAAAAGTACGTCGGTCAGTTACAACGTAGGACCAGGCACATATGTGCATCGATCCAAGTTGCCATACCTCATTAGCACAGCAAGATGAACACCAAATTCATAGAAGCAATTAACTCAACGGTGTAATATATAAAGGAAAGATTGCATATAAGGGTATAATACGACGCTCTTGTCTGCTCCCAGTCCAGACGTTTAGAACGATGGATGGAACATTTTAGATAACGGTTCGGCTGGCCTTCAGCTATTCTACAACTACCCTCCATTCACAGACAGTGTGAATGGAACATTGAAGTAGGTCTCCCAATTCTAGCTGAAGTTCAAAAGGCCATAGTTAATTTGATACGAGGAAGGGCAGCTGGTCCAGATGGATTGGCTCCAGAGGTCTTTAAGGATGGTGATCCAATCTTAGTGATTAGGTTGACTAATATTTTAGCTAAGATCTGGGAATTAGACGTTATTCCATCTGACTGGTCGCAATCACTTATCGTCCCAACATATAAGAGAGGGTCGAAATCATCCTGTGAAAATTATAGAGGGATTAGCTTAACTAATATAGTATCTAAAATAATAGCCTCGATAATTATCGGACGCCTAACTAAGACTCGTGAACTGCAAACACGAGAGAATTAAGCTGGCTTCAGAACTGGTCTTGGCTGCATTGACCACATATTCACCATTCGTCAGGTTCTAGAACACAGGCATGCTTATCGGCGTCCGACAATGGTGGTCTTTCTTGACCTAAAGGTAGCATTTGACTCTGTAGACCGAGAGGTTCTGTGGCAGTGTCTGTCAGTGAAAGGCGTACCTCAGAAGTACATGAGGCTTGACGACCTGTGTTAGTTCTGGCAATGGCGGTCTCTCAGTCGACCCAAGTTCCTTTTGAAAGCATCGACAGATAGAGCGTCAATCATCTGTTGGAAGACGAATTCCATTCGTTGATGATTTAGTGGGAAAATTGATAAACAACTGACAAATAATTTGTTCTGACCTTGTGAGCTTTTTTAGTGTCCTCGTAAATCCACTGATTTGAAGGACAAGAAAAGTGAGCGCATATCAGATGCGAATTTATCGATAAGTAATCTAAAAATTGTGATCGGGTCACTTCTAGTTTTTCTATGACGATGGAAATAGTCTTAGTTTAGCCAGTCGAGTATCAAACGGGAGCATTTCTATTCTAGAAATTAGCTTAGTTGCGGTTGCTCGAATCTTTCACAACGGCTAACTGTCTCCTTTTAGTCAAGAACTAGTCACTTGTATGCAGTACTCGAGTTTAGGACTAACGAATAACGTATAAAAAGTTTCTAGCATCGACATAGCTAAAGGCTCTACATAATGATCATAGGATTCTAAGACCTTTGTAGGCTATCATACGGCAGTGTGCAGTAGATTTTAAGCCTTGGATAACTATGAATTTTAAGCCAAGGTGTGTCTGGGCAACAGGTAGTTCAATGTTATTCACTGTGTACGTATCTGTACCTTGAAGACGGCGAGACTCTAATTTAGCGACGAGCCAATCAGAAGCGTTTGAGCACCCTAACCTTAACTTTAACCCTAGGCTACAATCCTAACCTCTAACCCTAAACCCTATGGACGGGTTTCTATACCATATGCATTATGAATTCAGAACTTTTATCAAACCTTAACAAGTTTTTAAATCATGTAAAAGAAGAATATCCACTGTAATTCATTACTTACAATATATTTTCACTTTATACTGTCTTCTGATTGGCTAATAATTGTCAAGGTCATTTAAGATTCGTTCAAAGGTCGTCGCTAAATTAGTCTCGCCTTGGGGACTAATATTTATCACCATGCTCTTGTAAATATTTATCGATAACCACCGAATTCTAGACCATTCAAATAATTTCTTCAGGTCATTTTGAAGCTTTAAACTATCATCTTTACCTTTTTAAAAGTACAACCACGGGTTTACTTCTAAATTCATTAGATAGATTTAGCAACCCATTTGTCCCTCAGGTTTGTGTCTGAATGACATTGAAGATCCTGAAGTCTCTCTAAACCTGCTAAGTACTATGTTGGTTATTCAATTCACAAAATATACGACAGGAGTACATCATATTGTCGACCTTCAGCCCATTAATCACACTGACAGCCGCTATTTAATTTTGGGCAGAATCCAGGACTCAGATGGTCAATCTGAATAAAACATCTAGCTTTACCACGTAAAATGAGTTGATTAAGGAATTCTGCATCTTTATCAGCGATATTAACAGAAGACAGCCGATTTAGCTGTGCTAGCAAAAAGAGAAATGCAACTCACGTAACGTAGCAATACAGTATAGCGCCAACAATTCAAGTGGTTTAAAATGGTTATGGACGGAATAGATAAGCTTTCGCTTAAATAGCTTCCGTATCTAATGGGAGTGGATCACCTTTAGAATGCGAAGTCTGCAACATGACCTAGATGGACTACTTTACACTTTTAAGTGTTAAACGTTTATTGTTGTCCGCCTAGATTTGAAGTCGAGTCAGATCCTCCTAAAATGCCAGCTTATCATCTTGATTCAAACTTCTCGACAAAGTTCCACATCATCAACGAAAAGTAATGAACGGCAGGACACTTTCTGAGAAGGGTCATTTATGTAAATTGAGAAAAGATTTTATAGTGCTGAACATTGAGGAACCCTACTAGGACATTCTGAAACCTAAGAAAGAGTGCTGTTTACCCTGACCTTAAAAAGTTAATTATTTAGGTACGAAGTAAACTGACCAAGCAACGGTGACTCGACACTTTACCTGTCGAGGTTACTGATAAGGCGTATATGACTGGTCCGATTAATAGCTTTTCAGAGGTCAAGGTATATGTCACCAACCATCACCTTATAACCAAAGACAGGCTGTCTATCTGTCCACCGCGGTTATCAGGTTTGCCATACAAGAGTGACTCCCTACAACCATGCTGTTGGAGTAAAAAGAAGTTTGTGGATAGTAATTGGTGACGTAGACCATCATATAGCGAGGACTCCATAACTTTTATGGGTATTGTGAGGAGTGCTACAAGATGACAGCTTGAAGGCTCTCTGAGTCGAGCTGCTTTGAAAATCGATGCGATGTGAGCTAACCTCCAATTTTCTGGTATCGTGACTCAGCTTGGTGAATTTGATAACAGCACAACAAACGTTTTAGCAAAGATTGAAGCCGCTTCTTTCTTTATGGCAGAATGAACAACATTCGGAGAAATGTCCACATTTTGGTGTTCCAGTATCTGATATTCCAAGTATGAGCTCATATTCACTTCTGAGAGTCCTCCTGAATTACAGGCGATGCTTTTCGTTGGCCGTGGTTTTTAAGGGGCGGTTATAAATTTTGTTAATACTGTTCTATTAGAAGGTCGACGGCGTCACCGTCGTTTTGGTTGGAATTTCATATGTGCAAAACTTCATTTTGACTTGTTGAAGAGGAGCTCCATGATGAAATACGCTTTTCGGACAAGAGACAAATTTATCAATTCGCTTTATCTGGTAGTGCGCCCAATATAGCTTTATTATTACGTAATCTTATAACATTAGAAAAGAACAGCAACTGGAACTATTTAATAACAAACATCTTGCTATTAACTTTACATGTGAGGAGGAAATAGATAACAAACTAAATTTTCTGGACGTTTTGTTAAGTAGAAAAGAAAATGGTTCTATCGGCAGGGGTGTGTATAGAAAAAGTTCTTCTCCAAGCGAATACACACATTTTTAAGCTTTGTGTCTCTTCATTATAAGAGAAACTTAGTCAAATGTCTTGCAAATAAAGCTCTTAAGATATGCTCAGTCGACACTATTGATAGAGAATTACAACACATTCATAATATTTTGATTGAATTGGGATATCCACTGGGTTTCCTGAAGAATGAATAGATGATATTAAGAGAATAGATGGTAGTTGCCATTAGACCACAATAAAATCACAGGGATCTTTTAGAACAGTATAACGCAAATGAAATGGTCGATTTGCTACATCTTTGCGCGTTGCAGAAATTATCATGATGAAACAAACACGTACAAACAAAGATGTGTAGAGTCTTTATTATGGTATGGTATATTTAGATGCTTTGAAGATGCATCTGGAACGCTGGACAAATGTATACACTATTTGTAATTGAGATTTCAATTGTCTAAAGACTCAACTAAGTCAGTGTGGTGAATTCTCCGGTGACCGAACACTTTTTAGACAAACACTAGTTACAATCAAAATTAAATGAATTATTGGACCAGTTTTTCAGAAAACTTTCTGCTATTCTATAAAGAGCCGGACGCTTGGAAGTTATAATTGTAGCAGGAAAACTTAAAGCCCACGTAGGTAGTCTAAAATAAAGTGATAGGCACTTATGGGGGTCCCAGCTCAATGAACAGACAAGAGGAACCGTCTGCTAAATTTTTTTAAATATTGGATGCGCACTGCCGAGCTGTCCCACAGTAGGACGAAACGGCCGTCCAGTGCTTCCAAGTTTTTCGTGGTGATCAAGCTTCAATTGACTGCTCTCAACTATTGAAATTTTTCTTTTGAATCGTATCTTTGATACCTAGTCTTTTCTATTACCACTGATACTGTTACTACCTCTCCCATTCTGAGATTTGGTATGACGATTTCATCCCACTACTTTAATGAGGTCTGATAACTTGTACAGTTGTACATACGAACTAGGTTCTACATTGTGACTGAGTGATTGTCTGCTAAACTGATAGATGCTCAACTCATTAGGCCGCGAACAAGATAATGAGTGAAGGCAATTCAAGCATAGACTATCAAAAGTATATGCAATGATCTGGAACAAAGGTAGGCAGCTAAAGCAAGAGCAATTAAAAATAAGTTAGGCAACAGTAATTAACTTTACATACTTATAAAAGAAACAGGTATTTAAAATCAAGGAGTTAGTGGAATTAGTTCTGAAAGAAAATTATCTGCTATTAATCGAAGAGACGGGAGCGATAAAAGAAATACTTCGAAGAACTGATTGCTTACTCTCCAAATACCTTTCATTTCCTTACCTTCACTAAATAATCTGAATAGGATTTCAGCATAAGCCTCCTGACTCTTAATAAAGTAGGAAAATCCATAGCCTATATAAAGTGATAAAGATAAACATGCTTTGATGGATCAACCCCAGAGATCTTCAAGATTGTTGGTCTAGTTCTAGCTGTCAAATTGACTGGGATATTAACTAATGCAATGCTATCCGGTATTGGAGATGGTTGGAAGAAAGTTAGAGGCGGCCAAACCAAAACGTGGCATCAGTGCTTGAAGTCACTAACTTCTAGTCTGAGCCATGTTGGTAGATGCAGACTACTTGGTTGGGGTCCGCGTGACTATCGTAACCAATGGTTGGAGACTCTTGGTGGCATGGCTCAGAATCGATCACAATGGCGTCGGTGTATACACTCCCTGTCTTCCCTTAAACTAAGAGATTAAAATCGCTTCATATCTTTCTTTCTACGAACCAATTCTTTCTTCTTGTACTATATCTCTATATGCAATCTTTCTCTTACATATTACTACCTTTGACCTAACCACTGCTATGAATCCGGTGTTCATCTTGTTGTGCTGATGCGGTATGGCAACCTGGACCGATGTACATATGTGCCTGGTCCTACGTTGTAGCTGACTGACTAACTAGTCTGGGAACTGGACGTAATTCTACTTGGCTAATTGCGATCGTTGACCACTGCAGTGTTTGAGTAGAAACACTTTTGATTAAAAAGAGGAGTCAGTTTTAATAATATATAATCTAAAGAACCAGCCCAAATAATTATCAGGACCCATAATAGGAACCATGGAGAAGAATATTGGGAAATTTAAATTTTATGATAATCATTCAATTTATTCTTGCATTATCTCCTTGCGTGTTTAAAGGTGATAGGAAAAATACGTCAGTCCTTGAAAACTATTACGACTGCACGAAGCGTTTAGCTAATACTATACAGAGGCTTTCTTCTGAGCGGCATGCATAAAGAGATGCATCATTATCAAGACATAAGTAACAGAAATTAATACGCTTACAGAGGATTCACAGTAACATATTGAACGCAATTTCGTAGAAAAGCAATATATTATCAGGAAAATTACTTGTTTGACCATTTGATATAATATCTGTAGGACCTTTATGGACAATGGTGACACCAAGTTTTTCAGCAAGAGATCTTGTCGCATCTTTGGTATCATATGGTTGAGACGAAAACTGAATAAATGCGTTGAGTATATTATTGACATAATTACCACAGAGTAATATAATCTTGAAAACTCAACAGTGTTTGGAGTAAGAATAGTTTTATCATAACCTTCTATGAGTGATGGATTTTGAGTAACGATGTGCAAAGCATCAGCATCAATGACAATAGGCTTGTTAGAATGCTTGCAATAATCTATCAGCTACAAAGTACTAGTATTTAAAAGTAAATGGTAATAAAAAGAACTTTTGTAGTATTTTCAACATTTTCTGTTAGTCCCAGACCAGGTCCAAATGTAATTGCATGAACTCTGTCCATACATTTGGTCGCTTCTGCTAGAACTCCATCCCTAGAAATTAGGTAGTAATATGGACTGTTTATAGAGAATTACAGAACAGGATGAACGATCAATTCGGGACTATATGACTTGATAACAGGAGAGGAAGAAGCAGAACATACTACATGAACTAAATCAGCACCCTAGAATTTATATTACTTGTGTATGTTAACTTACACAATGCAAAGCACTAATAGCGGAAAAGTATGGTGCTCCAGTATATCTGCTAACTATCAACAATACATGCATGAACTGACTCTTTTGATCCTCCTACTACAGCAATTCTTCCCATTTGACCTTTATGAAGACCATGTGTTAACTGAGGAATAATCTTAGCTATGTCGTCAATCATAATACAGTAGCGTAGCCACAAACACCGATTACACCACTGAAAGTACGAACATCTGTAGGGAAAATCAAATAGGGTTTTTAAGCCAATTAATAAAGTGTTGAACTTAATCGCTTAATAGTGACTTATTGTCTGAAGTGTTCTATATTCATAGTAAAACTTTAACAGGCGAACGATAAAACTAAGTTAGTGAATCCAATTAAAACACTAGACAGTGAGACTATAATTTATGGAGGACCGTTGGGCAACGCCAGGATTAGTTTCGTATAGGAAAAGTACGTCGGTCAGTTACAACGTAGGACCAGGCACATATGTGCATCGATCCAAGTTGCCATACCTCATTAGCACAGCAAGATGAACACCAAATTCATAGAAGCAATTAACTCAACGGTGTAATATATAAAGGAAAGATTGCATATAAGGGTATAATACGACGCTCTTGTCTGCTCCCAGTCCAGACGTTTAGAGCGATGGATGGAACATTTTAGATAACGGTTCGGCTGGCCTTCAGCTATTCTACAACTACCCTCCATTCACAGACAGTGTGAATGGAACATTGAAGTAGGTCTCCCAATTCTAGCTGAAGTTCAAAAGGCCATAGTTAATCTGAAAAGAAAAGATAGCAGCTGGTCCAGATGGATTGGCTCCAGAGGTCTTTAAGGATGGTGATCCAATCTTAGTGATTAGGTTGACTAATATTTCAGCTAAGATCTGGGAATTAGACGTTATTCCATCTGACTGGTCGCAATCACTTATCGTCCCAACATATAAGAGAGGGTCGAAATCATCCTGTGAAAATTATAGAGGGATTAGCTTAACTAATATAGTATCTAAAATAATAGCCTCGGTAATTATCGGACGCCTAAGACTCGTGAACTGCAAACACGAGAGAATTAAGCTGGCTTCAGAACTGGTCTTGGCTGCATTGACCACATATTCACCATTCGTCAGGTTCTAGAACACAGGCATGCTTATCGGCGTCCGACAATGGTGGTCTTTCTTGACCTAAAGGTAGCATTTGACTCTGTAGACCGAGAGGTTCTGTGGCAGTGTCTGTCAGTGAAAGGCGTACCTCAGAAGTACATGAGGCTTGACGACCTGTGTTAGTTCTGGCAATGGCGGTCTCTCAGTCGACCCAAGTTCCTTTTGAAAGCATCGACAGATAGAGCGTCAATCATCTGTTGGAAGACGAATTCCATTCGTTGATGATTTAGTGGGAAAATTGATAAACAACTGACAAATAATTTGTTCTGACCTTGTGAGCTTTTTTAGTGTCCTCGTAAATCCACTGATTTGAAGGACAAGAAAAGTGAGCGCATATCAGATGCGAATTTATCGATAAGTAATCTAAAAATTGTGATCGGGTCACTTCTAGTTTTTCTATGACGATGGAAATAGTCTTAGTTTAGCCAGTCGAGTATCAAACGGGAGCATTTCTATTCTAGAAATTAGCTTAGTTGCGGTTGCTCGAATCCTTCACAACGGCTAACTGTCTCCTTTTAGTCAAGAACTAGTCACTTGTATGCAGTACTCGAGTTTAGGACTAACGAATAACGTATAAAAAGTTTCTAGCATCGACATAGCTAAAGGCTCTACATAATGATCATAGGATTCTAAGACCTTTGTAGGCTATCATACTGCAGTGTGCAGTAGATTTTAAGCCTTGGATAACTATGAATTTTAAGCCAAGGTGTGTCTGGGCAACAGGTAGTTCAATGTTATTCACTGTGTACGTATCTGTACCTTGAAGACGGCGAGACTCTAATTTAGCGACGAGCCAATCAGAAGCGTTTGAGCACCCTAACCTTAAATTTAACCCTAGGCTACAATCCTAACCTCTAACCCTAAACCCTATGGACGGGTTTCTATACCATATGCATTATGAATTCAGAACTTTTATCAAACCTTAACAAGTTTTTAAATCATGTAAAAGAAGAATATCCACTGTAATTCATTACTTACAATATATTTTCACTTTATACTGTCTTCTGATTGGCTAATAATTGTCAAGGTCATTTAAGATTCGTTCAAAGGTCGTCGCTAAATTAGTCTCGCCTTGGGGACTAATATTTATCACCATGCGCTTGTAAATATTTATCGATAACCACCGAATTCTAGACCATTCAAATAATTTCTTCAGGTCATTTTGAAGCTTTAAACCATCATCTTTACCTTTTTAAAAGTACAACCACGGGTTTACTTCTAAATTCATTAGATAGATTTAGCAACCCATTTGTCCCTCAGGTTTGTGTCTGAATGACATTGAAGATCCTGAAGTCTCTCTAAACCTGCTAAGTACTATATTGGTTATTCAATTCACAAAATATACGACAGGAGTACATCATATTGTCGACCTTCAGCCCATTAATCACACTGACAGCCGCTATTTAATTTTGGGCAGAATCCAGGACTCAGATGGTCAATCTGAATAAAACATCTAGCTTTACCACGTAAAATGAGTTGATTAAGGAATTCTGCATCTTTATCAGCGATATTAACAGAAGACAGCCGATTTATCTGTGCTAGCAAAAAGAGAAATGCAACTCACGTAACGTAGCAATACAGTATAGCGCCAACAATTCAAGTGGTTTAAAATGGTTCTGGACAGAATAGATAAGCTTTCGCTTAAATAGCTTCCGTATCTAATGGGAGTGGATCACCTTTAGAATGCGAAGTCTGCAACATGACCTAGATGGACTACTTTACACTTTTAAGTGTTAAACGTTTATTGTTGTCCGCCTAGATTTGAAGTCGAGTCAGATCCTCCTAAAATGCCAGCTTATCATCTTGATTCAAACTTCTCGACAAAGTTCCACATCATCAACGAAAAGTAATGAACGGCAGGACACTTTCTGAGAAGGGTCATTTATGTAAATTGAGAAAAGATTTTATAGTGCTGAACATTGAGGAACCCTACTAGGACATTCTGAAACCTAAGAAAGAGTGCTGTTTACCCTGACCTTAAAAAGTTAATTATTTAGGTACGAAGTAAACTGACCAAGCAACGGTGATTCGACACTTTACCTGTCGAGGTTACTGATAAGGCGTATATGACTGGTCCGATTAATAGCTTTTCAGAGGTCTAGGTATATGTCACCAACCATCACCTTATAACCAAAGACAGGCTGTCTATCTGTCCACCGCGGTTATCAGGTTTGCCATACAAGAGTGACTCCCTACAACCATGCTGTTGGAGTAAAAAGAAGTTTGTGGATAGTAATTGGTGACGTAGACCATCATATAGCGAGGACTCCATAACTTTTATGGGTATTGTGAGGAGTGCTACAAGATGACAGCTTGAAGGCTCTCTGAGTCGAGCTGCTTTGAAAATCGATGCGATGTGAGCTAACCTCCAATTTTCTGGTATCGTGACTCAGCTTGGTGAATTTGATAACAGCACAACAAACGTTTTAGCAAAGATTGAAGCCGCTTCTTTCTTTATGGCAGAATGAACAACATTCGGAGAAATGTCCACATTTTGGTGTTCCAGTATCTGATATTCCAAGTATGAGCTCATATTCACTTCTGAGAGTCCTCCTGAATTACAGGCGATGCTTTCCGTTGGCCGTGGTTTTTAAGGGGCGGTTATAAATTTTGTTAATACTGTTCTATTAGAAGGTCGACGGCGTCACCGTCGTTTTGGTTGGAATTTCATATGTGCAAAACTTCATTTTGACTTGTTGAAGAGGAGCTCCATGATGAAATACGCTTTTCGGACAAGAGACAAATTTATCAATTCGCTTTATCTGGTAGTGCGCCCAATATAGCTTTATTATTACGTAATCTTATAACATTAGAAAAGAACAGCAACTGGAACTATTTAATAACAAACATCTTGCTATTAACTTTACATGTGAGGAGGAAATAGATAACAAACTAAATTTTCTGGACGTTTTGTTAAGTAGAAAAGAAAATGGTTCTGTCGGCAGGGGTGTGTATAGAAAAAGTTCTTCTCCAAGCGAATACACACATTTTTTAAGCTTTGTGTCTCTTCATTATAAGAGAAACTTAGTCAAATGTCTTGCAAATAAAGCTCTTAAGATATGCTCAGTCGACACTATTGATAGAGAATTACAACACATTCATAATATTTTGATTGAATTGGGATATCCACTGGGTTTCCTGAAGAAACATTTGCGCATACAAAACAGGAAAATAGTGACCCTGACGGCTAATAAGAAACCGCTTTTCTTGAAACTGCAATTCAATGGTGATTTGGCTAGCGATGTATTACATGATAGATTGACTAGATCAGTAAAGAGAATGATTAATGCTGTCAACCTCTGCCTATCGTATTCGACCCGATCGATGGTGATTCCGCAATTGAAGGATAAGTTACCTGGTTATGCCACTTCTATATGTATCTACGAATTCAGCTGCTCCTGTGGATAAAGCTATATCGGGCGCACTACCAGGCAACTGAACCAATGTGTTAGTGAACACCTCCCTTCGTGATTAGGAAAAGGTTACGTCAAAACAATACGCAGCTCGGTTCTGTCACACTTGATCGATAGCGGTCAAAGTTATTTATCGAATTCCCACCAGTTTTCCTTATGGTGTTCGATCTCGTCTCTTACACATAGCAGAAGCTATAGGAATTCAAGCCAACAAGCCAAGTCTTTGTGTTCAGAAGAAATTTGTAACTCCCTTATCTCTCCCTTGGTCTTAAGTAATAAATGAACTTATTTATTTATTCCTTTTCTAACTTTCTCTTCGTTTATTATTTTTCTTCACACCCTCCTACCACTTTATTTTCCCTCAACTATACGTTTCATGGTCCAATTATATGAACATTTCTTATTACGTCATCTTATAATTTTATAATTGTTATCTCAGTTTCTATATTTTTCTAATCATTGACCTATTTCAGATTATGTAACATTGATTCGAACCTTTATTATTGTTGCTTATCAAAACTAATGCACCTGTTGTCACATCATCAATTTGTACTTTTCACATTTTACTTATTATGTAATCTTTTCCATTGTTATCATTGACTTATA